TAAAAACAATCATAATCAGAGAGGCTGCAACAATCCTTACTTTAGGAGAAAGTCAATTATCATTTTTTTTCAATTAAATATTAACGAATTATTTAAAGAGATTAATTAAACTGTGTTCCTTTTAAAGGCTTATCAATTGGTTTAATTAAAGTTATATGTAGGTATTGTAATTTTAATCAGTTTAAAAAATGTTAAGTCTTATAATCAGTCTTACATACATATCATATTTTATATTTTTTTAGCTCTAATGAGGAGCTCTAGAAACACTTGGCTGATTGACTAATTTATCTTTTTCATACAGGCAGCCGTTAGGGCCGATATACTCTACTGCCTCTATTATACTGCCCTCATTGGATCTTTCATTTTGTTTTATAATATAACAAGTATTATAATTATACTCTACTGCCTCTATTATACTGCCCTCATTGGAGCTTTCATTTTGTTTTATAATATAACAAGTATTATAATTGAGTCTGTAATATTATTGAAATTGTTTTTTTTAAATCTGTTTTACAATCAATTTGTTATTCCATATAAATAATTGTTGCAATGTTATAAAAAAACATACATATGATCATTAGAATTGTGATAGAAGTTAATTCTTCCATTTTAATGTAAGACTGAAGCGCTATAAGACTAATGAAGGAACACGCTTGTACTCTGTAAAATTTGAACTCAGAATGATTTTGGCGGTTGGTGGGCGCACAACCAGAAAGCTGAGCCAGCCCTACACTCACAGATGTATAAGAAGAGTATGAAACATATAGGTATGTGTTTACTGTTAGAAACAAGTGGCTCATTAAAAATGGCATTTTCTCATGTTTATTTTTTATGTTGTTATTCATTTTAAATTAATATAAAAAAATAAATTTTCATCTTCTCATTATGTGATTTACTGATTTTAAGTATAATCAACTCTCTACTGCCTTTCAAAATGGTAATTATCATTCAGATTTAATTTTATTTCTTAATGTGGCAAAGTAGTACTGATTGATATTATTATTATTATTATTATTATTGTTATTATTATTCCTGATGATGACATAATTAATGTCGAAATATTGAATCCAGACACGATGGCGTATTTCGATACTTGGAGTATGTATTATATTATCTTAGTACTAATTGACTTTCTTATGTACCGGTTAAATTTATCAATAAAAATTATTTTAGAAGCAGAGGTTTGTATCAAAGTACAAAAGTTAAAATTAAGATTTTTTTTGTGTTTAACTGATAAAAAAAAATTGTTTATCATGGTAGTGCATAGAAAATATATCACTTATTCGCCATCATCAGATATCATATGACACTGTGGCCAAGGGACAAATTGCCCATTACTTACACTTTTATAAAAACAATTTACAATAAAACAATTAAAATCCATAGGCATTAAAAACACAAGGAACAAATCAAGAACAAAAGGGAATCATTGAAAGGCTATTGAATGAATTTGATGGATTGATTGACTAACAGATGGGACACCTCACTGTATAAAATAACAATGTGGGAGGGTGTTTTCTACCATGGCTTTCAAAGCAGGTTTTGGGGAATTGAATATAGATGAATAAGCTATTTGCTAATTAACTAAAGAATGTTTGCCTCATCAACAACACCTAGGACAAGTGTCCAAGATACAATTAACTCTGAACAGGGTATTCCAGCAATTAGCAAATTTTGAGTGCACAACACTTATGGATTCAATTGAAGATAATTATTTTTCACCAGTTATAAAACGAGTTGAGATTATCATGCAGAATTACATGACACACATGACCCTGCTACTTGTACCTGCCCCTCTCTGAACACAATGCATCTTCTGCAGTAGTTGTTTAAATGGATTGATGTAGCTTATCAAAGATTATTTTTATATAATAAATTATGCTTGGTTGTAAACTGAATGTGGCTACATTGTAAGTACTATAATAACTTTTCCACACACAAAATAACTAAGAAGATGCCTTTAAACTAGTAATGTCAAAATAATAATTATTTATGGCCATAATGAAAAACAGCATTGTATTTGTTGATTTATGCTTCGTGAATAAATAAAGTTTTACTTTGAACCATTCCTTTTCATAAAAAGTCCAAAACGCTTGTATATTAGACAATTCTTACTTGATAATGTAATTCCTGATCTGTTAAACCCACAACTTGAATAGATTTATTTTTATTTTATTTTAACAGTGATGCTGTTATTGTTATCAGAAGTCAGTCCCTCATTGTTTTTTTGGTCCTTTTGGATTAAATGAATCCCACGTCAATTTTGAATTGAATTGAATACAAAAATTATTAATTAAATAAATTATCAAAAACAATTAGGTTAAACCAGGGAACAGTTTAATTAACTGTTCCCTGGTTAAACTATAAGTTAAGTGTAGTTAAGTGCATTGTATTTGTTGATTTATGATTCGTGAATAAATAAAGTTTTACTACTACTTTAAACCATGAACCATATGAATCCAACACACTTTTTACCCGACCCCCTTAAAATCGCCCAATATTTTGCATGTTGGGGGTTCTACCTGAGATAATCCCACAGTGAATTTTTAGGCTCCACGCCAGCATTTTCTGATGAGTTAGAGCAATTTGAAATTTTCATGAGATTTGGCTAAAAAACTTACTTTCTGACAGACTGCTAATATCTCTCTTGAAACTCAACGTATTGGAGATATTCTGCTACCGTTAGATAGAGAAGATTCTCTTTCCAATGATACGCAACTTGATGATGAGGACTAGTGAGAATTATATAGGTCAAGTCACATGACCTTGAACTTTGACCCAAAATACCACAAAAGTATATATTTCGATTTTTGGAAAATGCACACCTCAGTTAGGACACTTAGCCCACATGATGCCCCTAAAGTTTCATTGTGGGCAAATGAAATATATTAGAGCACATTTTGTGCCTAGGTATTGATAGATCACTGAGTTTTCAGAAAAATCTAGCAACCACAAACCACATTGCATTCCCCATTCCTTCTCTTGACTATCCAACCAGGTCCAGTCTATTACTTTCACCCACCTAAAATCACATGCTTCATTATGCACTGCCACACCAGTTCAACCTAGTTTCCATTGAATCTGGATAACTGTGACTGCTGCTGTACAATACAGCACAATGTAAAATTAGGTTTGCAGAACAATAAAAAGATCTAGTGTTCTCTTAATACTTATGAAATTCTGCAAGTGGGTGTAATCTAAAACCTATCATTTAAAAAAAAAAAAATCAAATTTTTACTTTTAAATGTCTACGATAATATATTTATCACGTTAAAAGAGGGCATTTTAAAAGCTGATAATATACCCATTTTGCGTGTATTGTGACCAAAGTTAAGAAAATACTTAGTAAAACCATGGTAAAACTGATGGGATGGAAATCCCTATACAGTTTTTGCTGATATTTGCAGTCAGTATTTTCTAGAATTTTAAATTAAGTTTGTTTTATAGTTGGCAATCAATAGTACAAATTGAGGTTAAAACATGTTTTGGATGCATTTCTTAATTATTAATATTGAAAAATTTTTATTGGTCAAATTCTGTCCTGCCCTAGTTGAAACCAAATTGTTTCTTTTTTTAGACAAATGATCTGCTTTTCATAATATTTTACTATTATTATGATTTCATAGGTGTAATTTATGATTTAACTTTTGCCCATGCAGGGAGTTGGTAGATGTGGAACGTGATGCCTGCATCAGAAAGTGCACTGCCCGCGATCGGTACTGTAATGTTTAACTTTTTCAAAATAAAATTTTCTTAATGTTTTTAATAATTCAAAATATTTTTAGTTAACAAACAAAATATGTTATTCCTGTCTCTTATACACATCTAGATGTGTATAAGAGACAGCTGGCGTTCCCCCTGCATCATAAAAACATAAAAAACTAGATAATACCTTAAATAATGATTAATGATTTGGTGTGGTTCCACAACTATTTTAGTGATGCCAACATTGTAGAGCCCTGTAGTATTATAACTCTACCATTTCTGGCAAAAATGTGCAGGGGGTATGAATGATCCCTTAAATTTACAGTACATATAGTTCTATATTGAAATGTATTGATATTGCCTACAATTTGTTCATTCGTCCTGCCACGAAAATGTTTTTCATTGCCATGGTGATTTGATCAAGTACTGTGTTTTCTATTTTATGTCAAATTGAAGTACTGTAGGTATCAGTACCTTGCTCAAGATCATAAAAAAAGTTTCATAAACTAGACAGAGACCTACATCTAAGCACGAGGAGGAAGTGCAGCGTGGTCGCCAAATGGTGAGTGGTCGTGGTCAAGAAAGGGGGCGTGGCCATGGTAGAGATAGGCAGATGTCAACTTCAACTCCTCTTTCTTCTAGCCATAGCCTTTCTTCTCCATCAAGTATTAGTAGCCCATCACCTAGCCATACTACTTCAACCCCTTCTCCCTCTTTACCCCTCCCCTTCTCCCTCCTCTTTCCAGTAGTGGTTCATCTCTCTCTCCTTCAAGTCACAGCTCATATCCTTCCAGTCGTAGCCCATCACCTCCTCCTCAACGAAGATGCTGCCGGTCCACAAGCAAGAAATAGGGGATGTGGTCGCCCTAGAGGACGTCTTGCTGGTAGGGATGCTCATCTAGCACGCGGTGCTACACCCCAACGAAATGATTGGAAGTGGGAAAAAGTATGTCAAGCCGCAGAATACACTCCAAAAATTATTGCTTTTTAGGGAAATGAACGGATCAAAGCTCGAATGGCAAATAATAATCCAATTGATTATATGAACTTATATTTTACTGACAACTTTTTCGAGCTCTTGGTAACGGAAACCAACAGACACGCTTGGCAGTATTACTCAAATAATAAAGAACAGATAGATGCAGGTGAATTATCGTATGATTGGCAAGATGTGGACATCAACGAGATGAAAACGTTTTTAGGGCTCATTATGCTAATGGGTATTGTTCACAAGCCTCAAATCCAAATGTATTGGAGCACAGACGAATTATATGCAACAGATTTTCAACGAAACAATGAAACAAGATCACTTTAGAGGTATTTTGAGGTTTTTGCACTTCAATGACAACAGCCAAAATGATATGAATGATCCAAATAGAGATTGGTTATTCAATGTTCGACCTCTTATGAACTTTGTAAAACAGAGATGTGCATCAGTCTATGAGTCAGGCTGTGACATCTCTATTGATGAGTCCTTTCTTCTTTTCAAAGGAAGACTTCTGTTCAAACAATACATAAGAACCAAACGATCACGATTTGGTGTAAAATTCTATGAAATCTGCACAACGTCTGGAATTATGTTAGATTTCCTAATCTACTGCGGTAAACAAATTGAGGGAAATCTAGACCAAAGTGCTACAGAAAGAATCGTTGACACACTTATTCAACCATTTCTTGTCTTGTCAAAGTTTATTGATAACTACTACACATCTCCGTTCCTTGTAGACTACTTGCTAAAAAGAGACATGTACACCATAGGTACGGTACAAACAAAGCAGAAGAACTTTCCAGAAGAGCTTGCTGAGCACAGAATAGAGAAAGGCAAAGCATTATTTTATGCTGACAAGTCTCGCAATATACTAACCTGTAAATTCCGTTGGAAGAAAGATAAGGCAAATGGCAAGCCGACGATTATACATATGTTGTCGTCGAAGCATACATATAGTATTGAACAGGGATAACAGCGACATAATAAAGCCGACAGTAATTTTGAATTATAATCAGAAAATGGGAGGCGTGGATGTGACAGATCAACAATTGCATGGTATTCAAACAACAAGGAAATCATACAAATGGAGCACCAAAGTGACCATAAGAATAATCATGCTTTGTACCCTAAACTGTACAAAATGGATGCTAATCTATCAACGGCTGACGCAAAATATCTAAAGTTTCTGCACGACATAATTTCGGTGTAACTGAGGTCAAGTCCAAAGCTAAATAGAGCAGCATTGAAAGTCACAACCGTTCATCGACTTACTGGAAGACATTTCCCTTCACAACTACCATAATTTAGTTGCCCAAATACATTTTATTAATGTACAAAATGACAAAATCTATGTAATAAGTAACATAGTCACCCTTTTTATGGCCCAAAATTGGAATTTTGTAACACATAACCCTTGACCTAGGTCAAAAGGGTCAACAATATTTCAATAAATCTCAATGTTTGTGGCCAGTACCCTTTACAGCATTAGCAAACCAAAAAGGCAAAATTCTTAAGTTTAGTTTCCAAACAATGTGGTATAGTTTACTGGGAATTATGATATTTACAGCGACAAACAAGGGACGGCTGCAAATAGCAATCTCTATGTACAACACCGTTGTGTCAGTGGATTGTTTATATCCAATGCCCAAGTTTGGTCACTAAATCCCTCTATTGGCAGCGTACAAATACTTGACCTGCTTCTCACAAGAGTGCGTATGGTGGGAACCTGTGGAAACGTTTCTTATTTAATTTATTGTTACTAGGCAACCTGCCGTACTGGATATATGGTAAATGATCAAACTTCCAGGACAATCATATATTCCCAGTACTGGAAAAAGCTCATTTGTATTTCCAGGACATTCCAGGAATTTAAGGACGCGTATGAACCCTGTTACAATTTTACTTACCTTATGAAGCATAATTTGTTTTTAAAAGTGTTTTTAATTCCATTTCAATAATTCTTAACAATATGATGATTTTAAAGGTATTATTATTATGATTTCGCTTTAAAAAAAATTTGGGAAATTTAAAACTATTATAAACCAATAAAAAATATTTATAAAAATATTAGAATTCCATTTCACCACTGTTTAGAATTCCATCATGCCACCATAATGTAACATACTGTACTTTATACCTTATTAAATTCCACAACTGTTGTAGTGATGCCGTCATTATAAATCCCTTTTAGTACTAAAATTCTGCATTTCTGCTAAAAATGTGGAAGGGGTATGAATGATCCCTTAAATTTACAGTACATATATATATTGATATTGCCTATGGTAATTAAACATTAGTTGTTACTCAACTGGTACTGGTACCGGTACGGGCATTTATAATGCGCCTCTTCCTTGCGGTTATAAAGCGCAGTCAAAGAACTTAAATAGCAGAAGAATGAGCTGTCCCGCGTATTTGCATTAAAACTGATGGAACATCCGCCCTCTTGCGAATGGGGTAAAATTTGAATATTTTACTAAGTGGAGAAACTACAGAAAACAAACAAACCTAATTTTTGTAGCCATGGTGATTTGATCAAGTAACTTGTTTTCTGTTACATGTCAAATTGAAGTAGGTATCAGTACCTTGCTTAAAATCATAAAACAAGTTTCATAAACTAGACAGAGAACTACATATAAATAATGTCACTGGAGGGAGGGTTTTGGATTACACACAGTCTATCACGGAACAACCAATAAAATTATGTTTAGATAATATTAAAAAATGATGGTATCACAAATAAATAATTACCTGAGACTCGTTAGTAATGTCGGTAAATGACAGCCAACTTTTGAATCAAAGACAGTGCAATATGATGATGTTATATTTTTAGTTTGCTTTAATCATCAGCATTTATAGTATCATCCTGTACAAAAATATGTGTATAGTAAGCTTTACAGTCATAAAAAGACGTAGGAATAAATATGGAATTTCTTGCTTATTGTCATTTATTTTTGTATGTATAAGGCCCGGATATATACAACCTTTTTAAGCTGGGGCCAGTCCCAATCTGTTGAGACCAGCGGCGGGCCAACAAAAATTGTGTACTTCCATTTTTTTCTATGTTAGCCATACCTATTTTCTTTTATTTTGGTGAATTTGACATAGAATGGAAATATTTTTAAAAATTATGATTATGGCACCCCAAGATGGTCGGAAATGGCACTCGTAGACTTAAATTTGAATATTTTTTTTTCTTCTCCATTTTATTTTTGATTTTGAAAAAAAAAAAAAAAAAAAAAAAAATCGTCCTTCAAAAATCGGTGGAGATGACGCCTAGATGAGATGTATTAGGGAGATTTTTTGCACACTTCAGTGACCAATGGGAGGTTGAGATTACAAAGAGCTTCTGTATAATTAGTAAATTTGAATGTTAGCAATGTTAATACCAGCGTGAAACTACATTGACGGTCAGTGTCTATGGTCGCAAGCATTTCTAAACAAAATTCTTTCTCTATATCTGCCCCTAGTTATATTCTATAAGGTACGGTTCCAACAATTAAGTAGGCTCTATTAACACAATTTAAATTCAGGGACGTACACAAATTTACTTTTCCCCTAAAATTATGTATTTAATTATTTATTGCCATGTTTAAGGGCGGAGGTGGATCTAGAGTGGGTGGGGATGCAACTGTTTAGTGCCCCGTACATTTAAAAAATTAAAAGAAAATGTATCATATTGTCAAAAGCGTATTAGATTGCTCAGTAGTACAGTAGTAAGTTGAGGCCCCTGGACCACTCCGGGGCACATTTGGACACGCAAGAACTAAAAAAAAATCATAGAATATCATAGCTGATTGAATGTACCCATGAATCCATGGTGTACGAAATAAAATCCTCACAAAAATAGTATTGTTAAAATTCAAACTTGATCAAAACAACTATTTGTAAAATAACAAAAGGAATTTTTACTCATTATTGAACAACGTACGAATCGAATCAACGGCAAATCAACGTTCATGGGAAATCCCTAAATTCGCATGTATTTTGAAAACAGTTACGACTCCAAAAATATGAACAACGAAGTTTGACCTTCATAAATAGCTGTTTAATTATAATTTTGTTGTTTTATTAGATGTATTTGACCAGGTAGAGTAGCATTTATTTCAATCATTAAATGAATTATTAAATCAAATAATAATGAGCTGGAAATACATGTATTCTTTTATTCTACGACTCACTGAAATACATGTATTCTTTTATTCTACAATTCACGTCACTTGAAAGACCACACTTGACAACCTATCCAGGCCTACGCCTGAACCTGGAACTTCCATGCTAAATACAACCATTAACAACACAATCAAAAAGATATTCTAGGCCTAAATCCTGTATTTTTGTACAATATTCAGTCATCACAATGACTGAATATTGTAAGTTTGAGTTATCTTGACCACTTTTTGCATGGGTTGGTAAGTTCAAAGGGCGCCCCCACTTGTTCCGCTCGAGTGTAATACCGGCAACATAACACAACAAACATATATACGTCATTTGTACATTATTATCTAGGTGTATCTATCCCGAACCAGCAGTCACTGAGTCTGTGGTTCCACTGTACAATGTATAACAAAGAAGTTATAAACACTAGAATGTTTCCCCAATTTGACAAGTATACTCGTCCCTGGCGCCCTCAGAAACACTCGTCTCGATTGCAGCCAACGTATTAAACTTATTTAATCAACTTTTTTGTGAAAAATATAAAGTTTATTAAATGAAAATATTCTATTTATTATTTAATTTTCTATAAAAGTTTTGAAATTATATACTGTAGGCCCTCGTTTGGAAGATTGTCAGCTTCTGTACCGTATGTTTACTTATGTATATTAATTAAAAAACAATCATAATCAGAGAGGCTGCAACAATCCTTACTTTAAGAAAAAGTTAATTATCAGTTTTTTAAAATTAAATATTAACGAATTATATAAAGAGAATAATTAGACTGTGTTCCTTTTTAAGGCTTATCAATTTGTTTAATTGAGTTATATGTAGGTATTGTAATTTTAATCAGTCTTACATACATATCATATTTTATATTTTTAGCTCCAATGAGGAGAAACACTTGGCTGATTGATTAATTTATCTTTTTTATATGGGCAGCCATTAGGGGAAATATACTCTACTGCCTTTATTGTACTGCCCTCATCGGAGCTTTCAACTTGTTTTATAATATAACAAGTATTATAAATGAGTCTATAATATTATTGAAATTTTTTTTAAAATCTGTTTTACAATTAATTGTTATTCCATAAAAATAATTGTTGCAAAGTTATAAAAAAAATATATATAAAATCATTAGAATTGTGATAGAAGTTAATTCTTCCATTATAATGTAAGACTGAAGCGTTATAAGGCTACGGAAGGAACATGTCTGTACTCTATAAAGCTTGATTCTGGCGGTTGGCGCACACACAACCAGAAAGCTGAGCCAGCCCTACACTCACAGATGTATAAGAAGAGTGAGTATGAAACATTAATCAACCTCCTACATTAATACAAAGCAAAAAACATTTGTTTTGTATATTTGGCCAAATTCTTACAGTAGCTGGTAATGTATTATTATCTATTTTCCCACAACATGACTAGATTATTACTTTGTGAACTTCATTCAATCATAAAAACAAAATATCCTTAGGGTAGATAAATTCTACTTTGATTTATGACCTAACAAAAATTGTCCTTTTTATTTAAAAAAAAAATGTCTAAGATCAATCAGAAAATAAATTAGTGAAACCTACATATTACTATTACTTACCTAATATTCATTAACTACTATTTAAATATTTATGTATAACACTGTTGAGCTCTTGTCTGTCTTTTGTCTCTTTTATTTATTTCTTGTTAATTTGCTAATGTTTGTCCCTTTTTTTTTTTTTACCTTGGAGATCCCTCGTAAGTATGTTGCACTTGTGGTTATACTATAGGAAAGAATTTTGTTGATCATAAATTTATTCTAAAATGGTGTAATAAATTCAAATA